ATCGTACGTGTGTTGCGAGGAGACGAAAGAATCGTTAATTGTTTACAACCACATCCATCCATGTGCTTGTTAGCTACTAGTGGCATCGATCCAGTTATCAGATTATGGAGTCCATGGCCAGAGGTAAATTGTATTTTCTATTTATTCATTATATATTTGTGTTTGATTAGATACACAGGATGTCTCTTTTTATTTCGTAAATTAACAGAGACAGACCTAATAAATGTAATTAATAAATTTCAAATACACGATAGAAATTAAATAGAAATTTAATTTTAAGACAAAGGACAATATATAAAATATTGCAAATTCCATTAACTCAATTTAAATTTGATATTACAGGATGGTAGTGTGAATGAAAGAGAAATTCAAAATCTAGATGACGCTGCATCAGCCAATCAAATACGCATGAACAGTGATCCATTTGAATTAATGCTCATGAACATGGGATACAGATTTCCCGTTCCTCAGCATGAATTTAGCGATGAAGACAGTGAAGATCAGCATGATCAGCCAATAACACAAGCTTTAAATTGTAGACCAAGTTAAATTTTGCAACACATGGAAAACAACATACTAACAGTGGCTAGATAATTGAGAATTTATATCACTTACATATTATATTATAATATCAGCCACACTATTATTTCAATCTCAATTATTTATTTTCTTCTTTCACTGATGTGTCTCGAAGCACTTTTGTTGTATAATAATTTATTGAGTCAAAATATCTTTGTAAAATTAAAGATAAAGTAGAATCTTATTTACTATGCGTTGTGGATATGTTAATAACAAACGCGAAAAACTATTAATATGAATTATATTCCATGATAAGTCTTATAAGATGTAGTTAATAATATATCATGTTATATTTCTTTGTATAAATTGATTTACTTTTATCCCCTATGATAAGAAAGCATTGTCACATAATTTATCCTGAGTTTATACATTGGTACGGAAAATTAAAAAATTTTTTAATGATTCAAAGGAATTAATTAACAGATGATGGTACAAGTTCCCATAAATTCTGTAATGTACTGCCTTCTCTTGGCTCTTCCGTCGCGAGTCCTAAATGAATCGAATAATTTGGTTTTCTTTGACTTGTTTCTCTCTCAGAGAAATAATAACCAAATATATTTGATATTTCAGCTTGATTATCTTGTATCTCAGTAAAATGTTCTACACTAATCTCTTCTTGTGCAGGTGCCTATAATGGTAAGGATACTTTCATCACTGTTACATTGAAAAAAATTTATTGAAATTTAATTTTGAATAACATACAAAATTTTATAAAGCATTTGAAGACAAATTTACGATACAATTAAATTTTTAATTATAATCAAATCATAACTGTTATGAGCAAGAAGGAAAAGTAACGATCAAATGTTTGATTTGTTTACTTTTGACTAAGACAATCTTCAGCTTTTATGACATCGATAAAATATAATACATCTCATCAGTAAACAAGAATGTTTTTTTTTTAATCAATTCTCGATTACTGGGATATTAATTTAATATAAAAATACCTGATGTTCAAATGTATATTCCACACCAAAAATAGGAAATTTTTCACATTCTGAACGGAGTATTGATATTTCTTTGTATGTAATGTGAAGCTGCTGCAAGGGATTAACACGAAAACCTAAGATGTATCCTCCACTAGCTTCTGTACTTAAAATTACTAAAGTTGGCCCAAATTTCGATGTCCTTATAGTAATCTACAAAAAAATGTATTTGTATGTACATACAATTTTTTTACGTTTTGTAAATTTTTTTTATAACATTAACAATATTAAAATATGTAACATAATATGTACGTAAATGTAAGTATAAAAATGTTTCTAGATATAAATGTCATTTTGAATCATTGCTGAACATTATAGAAAACGTAAAAATTTAACAAAATATTCATAAAATAATAAAGAAAAACAGAGAGCAATGAGCCAATAAATTCATTAAAATTTTTAAATTATTCTAATATAAAATATTCATAATTTTTATGTAAAATTTACTAGAGCAAAAGAAAAAGTTTTTAATTTGCCAAAATCATATATTAAAGTTATATCTATATATATTTCTATAAAACATTATATAAATTTTTATACATAAATCAATTTCTCTCTGTAATATGTACATAAAAAATAAAGATTACGTTATGTAATAATTTCTTTATCATTATTATTATTAACTTTTTATGATAGTGAGTGTGCGATGCTGAATAAATAGACTCTTAAAACGGCCCCTCAAATCAATCCAAATTTTAGCACTTTATTATATAAAGAACCGCCTTAAAACTATAAGCACATTGCATATTTCTGATAATCTGATTACCACTCGTTATTTTTTTAATTTTCGTTGATTGTCTTAATTTAAGTAACATGCATATTCATAATTCAATACTTACATTTCCGATTGTAAGATAAGGAATCGATACATTAAACTGATAATTTACATCCGCATACCATACCAAACGTATATTTGTTATAATAAAAGTTCCGATATTTCCCTTAAAAGCAATTATATTTTTTTTATTAAAGATTATAATATATGTAATAATAATTGTAGGGACAAATAGATCGTTTTCTGAACATTTTTGGCTACATATGAAGATTATATGTGTATATATGTATATATATATATATATCTATAATTTAATATCTATAAAATATATAGACATTAAATATAATAAAAATTGAATTCTAATTTCTCAGTCTGCATGGTTAATATTTTACTTATAATAATTATTATTTTAAATAAAAAAAATTAACAGTGTTTTACATATAAACTTGTACTGATAATTCCTCTTCTATTTATTTATGTGCCAAATCACGTGTGTTGATTGTGTCGTAAACATTTCTGTAACTATAAGCTTTTATAAAACCATATTTATGAACATATAACATGTTGTTATTGTGATTGAAATCTTTTCTCATATTTTATATTTTTGATCGTATTTATATTCTTAACCGTGCGAAACATGAAAAAGTGAGTGAGATAAATTATTTATTTTTTATAAAAGCCTTTTTTAAATAAAAATTATTCCATAATTTCTGCATAATTTTATTTTTATAATAATTCTTTTTAGAAATTTTTACATATCTTTTTTGCAACTTTTTAAATGTATATATCTGAATTCTGAGATATTCTCTTAAAAATTTCTCATTTTATAATTTCCAGTGGACCTCTAAAATCTGAAGACGTTTACAATATTTTTTTTTGAAAATTTATACATTACATATAAACTTGAAATATGAAAAAAATTTAAAAACATTATAAGAATTTTTATTATAAGAATTTCTTTACCAGGGATTTGTGATAGAAAACTATATATTCAATAAAAAGACCTGTTCAATAGATAAATTCCAGACGTCCTTCACAGACGAGTGCACCTTTTCTTGAGGTAATAAGACCAGCCGATTTTCACGTATAATACCGCTCCTTAGTTTGATTTCTCTGTAGATTTTCGATGATACATAAGCTCTGTATATATAATGAATGCTTTTAATGAACGATTATCATCGTTATTAATTGTATGATCAAAAAAATGTTCGTCACCTATAAACACCTATAACCGAAGTATAGTGTCTCGTACTTTTAGTATCGTGATTTGTAAATATAAATTCATATCGACAATTTCGGAACGAAGTTAATACGTGAAGAGCTTGTACATATACACCATGAATCTAAAAAGAAATCTCTTGTTTGTTATTTTTATGTCAACAATATGCTCATGCTAAAAATATGTAGTTCTTACCGTATGAAGAATTTTTGTATTCGCTGTGATAATTGTATTATAGCCTATGCCTATAAAATCATTGCACGATCACTTTTTTTTTTTTAGAAAAACAACCCAGTAAATAAGAATCTATTAAAAATGGATTGTAATTTTATCTGAGTGTACATATTTAATAAAAAAAATAATTTGTTTATTCAATCGGACGTAAATGCATTGAAAAACTGCATTTTTTGTTCAAATTTTTTAAATGAGCATTCAGGATGCACTTAAAAACACTAATGTTATTTTTAAATTGAGACAGAAATTTGCTTCGTACTATTCTTATGAACGAATAAAAATGCATTGAGATTGAAAAGGATCTATTTCAACGTTCCCGAATACATATTTCTGAAAATCTAAATCTATTTCAATCAATTTCAATCCATTCTCGTTTACTGAGTAACTGAAAATTGTAAAATTTTAATTCAAGCAGAAAGAGTATTATTAGACACCATAGTTTGTTAAAATAAAACTTTCTTTGTCTATTTGTATTGCTCACATATCATATATTATATGTACGTATCGAATGATATTCTCACTTAAAATTATATTTGTATGTATACATATGCTAATCATTTCATACTCAAGTTAATTCGTGGCAAGGATAAAGAATGCCATATAATTCTCAAGTTGGTGACAATCAGTCTTCCTAGATCTCCGGCATTGCCTTTTGTATCTTCTATCATATCAAGTTTGTCGACGGTGAGTTCACCAGGTCGTAATTGCATATTACTATACATGCAAAAAAGATTTAATATTTTTCTCCGTATTATTCAATAACTTATATATATATTTTCACTCAGCACATTCGGCACTAAATGTAGCTATTTAATCACTTTGCTTTGTTTGTCAAAGTGTGCAAAGCATATTTGACATATTTGCAAAACAAAACTTAGCTATATCAGTAAAAGCTAAAAACTCAATAATAATTCAAAGAAAATTAAATTTTATATTTACGAATGAGAAACATCAAATTTGACTTGGTTGTCTTGCCACATTTTAGACATCAGCTAAACAGGACAATACTATAGTACAGAACTTGACTTTCCCAGGCTGAAAATCAATATTGTTGTCATACCTACAGATGCATAACAAAATTGATGTTATAGGTCTGATACTCTTTCGTGTAACACAATACAAATACTTAACAACAGATATCACATATTTCACCGTTATATAAAAAGAGAAAATTAGTATAGACAAAAATGATGTATTTTTCTTTAAGTAATGTTATACAATTAGATAAAAAGTTGGCATAGCATATATTATATTATTCCTCCGGCCAAGGTTTGCCTATACCCTGTGATGCACCCATCCTGGACGGATCTTGACTTGGATAATGAATGGGGGTAGTTCCTGGAGGAAAAATTGGTGCAGCAGCAGCAGTTGCTATTTGCGGAGGAAACATAAATTGAGGAGCAACTGGTGGTGGTGGAATCATCATTGGTGGTATCATACCAGGAGTAGTTTGCAGATTGAAAAAGTTACTACCCATGCTTTCTGGTGGTGGTGGCGGTGGTGGTAACGCGCCAGGTAATCCTGGGACAGGTTCGAGGATCTCTCTCGTTGCTTCTGCTGCAGACACTGTTTGCCTTCCCTGTGAACGGCCCCATTTTATAGTGAGCCGTCTTCCACCCAATATCAGTTTATTAAAAGTTCTCTCTGCTGCTGCTTCAGCAGCATTTCTCTGTGTATATTGAATGAAAGCACATTGCTGACGCGGTACCATGGTCACTGAGCGGATCTCACCGTATTGATAAAAATGATCACGCAGCTGTTTCTCTGTTAATATGTCACCTAGGTTACCAATATATAATGTTGTAATGGATTTATCCTCAGGAGGGTCTAGCTTAGGCATAGCTGCTGCCCTGCGCATTAGTTTATCTGCCACTGGATCATTGACACCATAATAACGATCCTTTATGTTCTGATCTGCCAATGGGTCATCAGGATCTGTTGGTTTTTCATGTCGATAAGGACATTCCTCGCCTCTTTTACATTCACCCTTTACCCAAAATGAGCAAATGTGTGGCCTGTTTCTCTTATAATAAGGACTCGTCCTAGCCAGTTTCATCAACAGATCACTAGCTGCAGCAGACTTACCAACAGCACCAGCAGGTGTTGTTGGATCAATTTTTCCAATTTCATTGTCTATGTTTTGTACATAGTATTCCTTATTTACATCTGAACGTGGTAAATCATCCTTAATCTTCAAAGCAGCATCGCGAACTTGAATAGGCAAGCCATATTCCAAATCCAATAAACATGTTTGGCAGACATTCTTCAATCGACTGCACGTCTGACAGACTTCAGTTTTCTTAAATCTCATCCTAGCTCCTGGACACCATCTAAATACTGTAAATGGTCGCATACATATCTTGCATTCCTTTCCATATTTCTCCTTGGTCTGTAAATCAAAGTTCAATTCACAATAACAATATTGTTTCAAAAACAAAATATTATATTGTACACACACAACATATAACAAACACGCGCGCGCACGCATGCACTTACATATATTAATATATACATATGCATGAATACATTACAATATACATTTTACTTTAAAAATAAAATTGTTAATTAGTAAATGTCATGCTTGTCACCTACATCTCATCATTTTGTGCATCAGACAATTTATTTTAGTTTTATTTTGTAATAAAAGATAACAATCAAATAAACTTTGTGCCAACCATCCATACTTTTACTTACCATACGAATATATGGATTGTCTCCTAAACACGTCTGACACAATATTGGGAATTCCTATAAAAAAAAAAAACATGACAATGAAGAAAACATGAAATAAAAAATAGCATAATTTTCACAAAACAGACTTGTATCGAAAGCGAAAAATTTTTTTCATGCTTACCGCATCTTCCCAATTTTGTCTATTATATGTATTAGTCGTCTTTGATGTGGCCATTCTTCTTAGTTAATGGCTCCAGTTGATGTGGCCAATGCGTATTAACTTATTTCACTTGTAAGGGACGGTCGGTCACCGCCGCTCTTCATAGTTTAGTTTGCGTATTAAGTCTGTGAGGCGCTGTGAGGCCTTTAAAGCCGTAATCACACAAGCGATTGCGCGATTGTGATTGACGATTGAAGATTATTTCTCAACCAATCGGAACAAAGTAATCGGTGACTGCTTTGCTCCGATTGGTTGAAAAATAATCCTCAATCGTCAATCTCAATCGCTAGTGTGATTACAGCTTAAGGCCTTTAAGATAAGCGGGGAGCACAGACTTTTGCATAACGCATAAACCATATACATAAAGAATTTGATTGGTCCATTTTCTTATGCATGAGTCAATGGACCAATCAAATTCTTTAGGTATATGGTTCATGCGTTATGCAAAAGTGTGCTCCCCGTTTAAAGTTGATTTATACTGGCCGTAATCTGTTAACTTATGCCGTAATTTGTAAAAATTGACCAATCACAGTCGAATGAGAGGGGAATAATCGATTATAATTGGTCAATTTTTACAGATTACAGCATAAGTTAATAGATTACGGCCAGTATAATCCCCAACCCTAACACACATTAGGTCTGTTCTTTATTGCTGAACTTTTGCACCAGTTCACCTTTTTTCCTTTTCCCTTCTCCTGGAGAGAAAAGGAAGAAAGATGAACTAGTGCAAAAGTTCAGCAATAAAGAACAGACCTATTGTAGATCCAGGTGTAATCGTGTAAAAAGGTTGGATTATACTGGCCGTAATCTGTTAACTTATGCTGTAATCTGTAAAAATTGACCAATTATAATCGATTATTCCCCTCTCATTCGACTGTGATGGGTCAATTTTTACAGATTACGGCATAAGTTAACAGTTTACGGCCAGTATAATCCAACTTTAATTCTTCCACCATGGGCCCAGAGCGTATCTAGGCCTGTTCTTTTTGCCTGCACTGTCTGAACTGGTACATACAGTGCAATAAGTTGAAATGAAACAAACGTATATCTGTTTCACTTCAACTTATTGCACTCTGTGTACCAGTTCGGTAAAAAGAACAGGCCTTATATGTATTTCTTCCACCGATAAATCATAAACATCATAAACAAATGGAAAACGAAGAGTTGATACATTTACGTGATCTGAAAGAACAACTTTTAGAAGAGGTTGTTTATTTAAAAGACAAATTGAAGGATCAAGAAGAAAATGGATGTGAAAAATCAACCAATTTCAATACGTAATGAATTTAAATATTAATGCGTAAATTTATTTATTTTATGGCTAAACTAAACTACAATCTATGAATAATTGTAGCAGACTGTTTCCTGACGATGAAGATCATAAACTGTCAGAATCCATGTCTACCAAGTACAAAGCTAAATTATGTAATATTACAGCTAAAGTGATGGGAATAACATTCAAAGATATTGATAGAAAATGGTTACATGATAATGTTTATATATACATAGCTAAAGTAATAACGAAAACAATTTCCATTGATATAGAATTAACAGTGATTTTGAAGGTGCAAAAGGAGAATTTTATAAAATACATCATTTTACAGACAATTATTTCTTTTATTTATTTATTTTTTAATTTATTTTTTCAGAATTTAAATAATGATTTTGAAATCAAGAATTTGAAATATGAGTTTAGTAACAATGTCCATAAATATAATTGTGATAGTTTGGAAATATCTCCTTGGATTGAGGAAATTATAAATAAGAAAAATTTTTCTCTTCTTATGTCTGGTAAATAATCACATACACAATAAGATTATTATAGTAATTATATAAATTATATTATATTAATTAGTAAAGGCTGTGTTTCTTTTTAGGAATTTCTGATTATGAAAAAAATTGTATCCTTAGATCTAAAATTTTACATAGTTCAGAAATACAGAAATATGTAAGTATTGAGCAACATACTCTGGAATATGGAGGTATATCAGGATATTTACATCCCCCTGTAGATACAGAAAAAATCTATATAAAATTTCAATGGACAATTAAATTTTGTGAACAAACATGGCAGTTTAAACATTTCTTTTTTATACAGTCTACAGATATAGGTATAAAAATTTTATCTTATTATTAAATAAAGAGAAACTATAGAAGTGATTTTGATTAAATTTTGATTACTTTTATCAAGAGTTAATATAAATTCAATTATTAAATAGTATCTCCAATATTTTGTTAATATAGACAGAATTATTAATCTTTCATATGTATATTGTTTAATGACACATATACATACATACAATGGATTAGGGACTACAAGTTATATAATAAAATTTTGTAACTTCTGATTAAGTTGATTGCTGAAATTAATTCTGGATTTAATCAAAATTATTCTATAAATGATAAAAAATACTGATAATTGATTTAGAAATGGAATTGATTTAGGAATGGAATTTTCTGAAAAAAATCGTTTTTTATTAAAAAAATTGTGCAAGTATAACTTAACAAAAAACAATCTTATGGAACTATGGAAGAAATTATGCATTGCTATTGATGCTTATGCTGGAAAAAATGCCTGACAAAACTCATTATCTTTAATATAATAAATAAATATATTATTCACTTAACAATAGTCAAGAAGGGGACTTGGTTTACAATATTTCTTAACCACACACATCCTTCCATACCTTATATACGCTCCTCTGCAAATACTACCTCATCCTAAATAACTTATTCGCTTGCCCTTTGGGCCACTAACATATTGTTAGCTTGTCGCATTAACACATTACATTGCATTACGTTACGTTATCACAATTTTACATTATCACTTTATTTTACACTATCTTTACATTATATCTTATCACATTATCCTTAATTATTATTATTACATTATTTTACTTATACTTTATATTATATTACATTACCACAGCCTCTAAATATTACATACAAGTACAACTATATCTATATATAATTGTACCTCATTTCTTTCCTTTCCATCATACCTATATCATGCTACCTATTTGCAACTCCCGCCTATCCTTTAAACCTTTCCACCGCATCCTTATTTTATATAACCTGCCTTGCTCCCGAGTTCCTATTCATTATTTTTATTCACCTTACCCACTTTCCTTTCGTTTCTTTTCTTTATCCTTTTCTTTTAACTATTTCAAAATCTTATCTCTATCCTTCCACAGTTTCCTTATAACTTTACCCTTAGTTTCATCCAACTCCTCACTCCATAACCTCTCTAAAATTCTTCCTTTATCCTCTCCTAAAATTGAACCTCTCCTCCATTTCTTCATATTCTCTTACATAGTGTTCTATATTATCCCTACCTTTTTTACAAAATATACACCTCTTTTCCTCCCCTTCCTCTAGCCAGTATTTGTTCGTCTCTTCCAGATTCCCACATCTTAATTTGGCCAACGCCGTCACCTCGTCGACTCATTATCTTTAATTATGACATATTCATGATTATAATATTAATTATTTATTCTATTACTTGAAAAGTAATTAGATATTTGATTAATACATTTATATATTGTTTTGGATAAACCTTCTCTGCCACCTCCGTTATTGATAAAATTATTTGTGTAAAAATGTATCAAATGAGCCTAATTTTATCAAAATTAAAGGGATTGACTTATCATAAGGTTTATTCATATTTGTTTGTAATAATAAAAACTGAACTTTCTACAATAATTATATCAATAACATATCCATAGAACCAAATATAAAAATGGAATCTGTAACTATAATTAGAAATTGAAAGTAACTAATTAAACTTTTAAAAGCAATGATTAGCTGTAATGAAATATTTTTGAAAATTAATATTTATTACTATTTTTATTGTTAAACTACAAAATTTATAGAAAATAAATGTTTAAACGTAACAATTGTGTCTTAACTATGTGTAATACAAATGCTTATTCTTAACATATATTTTCTTTAAGAACATTTTTCTGTAGTTTTACGATTTCTCCATGCTCTCATATATGTTTTTGGATGAACAGGTAAAAATCCAGCGAGTCCTAATAAATCTGCAACAGGTGTGGACATCTGTACTCCTTTGGCAATCCAATATTGTATTCTTTCAAAATTGAAGGACACTAATTTTTCATTGTACATATTTGGAATAGGATCGTATACACCAACTTGTTCTACTGGTGGTGTCCTTTCTCCTTTTTTGGTCTACAACAAAAATTAATTTATCGATTCTAACTACAGAAGAATTTATCTTTTTCTAGTTCAGATTTTTATACTAAGCTGATTGTACAAGTTGGTGATCTGTGTAGTCCCAAGTCTTATCGATAATGTTGGCCAATAGCAAATTTCTTAAGATTGATCAAATTTGACTTTATTCCTTCTCATTAACTGAGGTAAATAATTCTCTGTAAAATTAACTTGTAGATGCGAAAAAATCGTAGTTACTTGTTTAGGTTAAAACTAGTTAAGACTTAAAACTTCCGACTACCGACTTATTGTAGAATCAGTTTCGAAAGAAAATCATTCCAACTTACATCAATTACAACGATATGAAAAAACGGTCTATTAGCACAACCATATCGAACAAATCGTAATGCCTTACTCATTGGCGAAATATAACCTGTCCCGGATGAACAGTGTAAAGGTAATCGAGGCATATTTGTGTAAGATATAAACTAAAGCTCTTGCCGTCGGGCTGTGTGGTTCCGCAGTGATACGGTTGCTTATGGACTCTTCTTTTTCTTTAATAGCTCCTGCTTCCTAAAATAATAATACAGGAGATCTTGATACGACCAAATCACGTCCTTGGAGACCTAGTACTGGTACTAACCTTACTAACAAACTCAGTCAAAGCTGGTCAAAACACAGTATATACTGGTACATACATACATACATACTCGGGTGAGATTTCCGCAGCCCATGAGGCCTGTTCTTTTTACTGAACCACAGACTTCTATAAATCTGTGTACTGAACTGGTGCATAGAGTGCAATAAGTTGAAGTGAAACAGATATACGTTTATTTCACTTCAACTTATCGCACTGTCTGCACCAGTTCAGACAGTGCAGGCAAAAAGAACAAGCCTATTGTAGGATTCAGTCCGATATTTCATGTGTCGGTCGACAAACTTTTCAAGGACGTTGATTGGCTATAGGACATGTGGTCTGTTTTCTGAAATATCGGCCTCACACTGCATCCGATGTGCGTCGTACGACGACTCTGCAACCAATCAGAAAAATCGTATCATCGATATGAAGCAAAAATTTGTTTTCTGATTGGTTGCAGAGTCGTCGTACGACGAAAATCTGATGCAGTGTGAATCCAGTATTACGGCTTATGGCTCCAGCACACTGGACGCAAAAACGCTTGCTGAGCGGCAAAATGTGACACGGTAGCCAATGAACATGTTAGGAGCTCTAAGCTCATTGGCTACCGCGTCACATTGCCCCGCGGCAAGCGTTTTCCGCGTCAGTGTGCTGGAGCCATTATTGTAGAAGGCCCATGAAACGGAACGCAGCCATCATGTATTGGATATCGATCATGTAACTTTTTTCCTAGGATGAAAAGTGAAAAGTGAAAAATTTCTCCATTAACTTCAATGGCAAAAATTTTCACTTTTTACTTAGGGAAATAGTTTCATGATCAATACCCTGGTATATACTGTGGTCAAAACCATAGTGGAAATAAAATCATGATATAAAAACACAGGTATAAAGGCCGCAGTACACTTTTGCATGACGCATAAAAGAATCAACCAATCGAAATGCTTCTCTTCCGTGAAGTGGGAGGAAAAGAAGGACTCTGATTGGTTCTCTTATCGCACATGAAATGCATAATAGAGCATGAGCATAACATAAAACTGTTGGACCAATAAGCATTCAGCATAAAGTTGTTATATTGATTAACATAAGATGCTCATTGGTCCAGCGGTCTTATGTTATGTTATGCACTATTATGCATTTCATGTTTTGGGTTTAAAGACCGTCATGTTCTCTCTCTCTTTCTCTGTCTCTTTCTCTGGTAATAAATTGAAGGCTGTGGAAAAAGCAAAGATGCCGAGTTCAAAAAGTGCAAGTAACGCGAACAGACTTATTATAAATGTATAGTTCAATCGATTTTGAATAAACGATGGAAAGATTTTGATACGTTTCTCATAAATTGGTATTTCTTAACAAATTCTTTCTGTCATCGCGTGTTCATCGGTTTTGAGTTTATAAGACAATGAAGGATGTAACCGTTATAATTCACTGGAATGTTGAATAATTAAAAGCGACATCCCCGCGAAATATTAAACGAAATTGTTAAAAATCTTGCAGTATCGATTGAGTGTCTGATTGGTTAAGCCAGTGCTTAACGCAAGTATGGCCGCTTTGCCGTCACCTACGCAGGTACGGAATGATTTTCTTGATTTTACGAGAATATAACGTTTATTGTGACTTGCGTTTGTTGCGAGAACTTCCTCTCGTAAAGTTTCGTCATGATTTTTACTAAATTGTCGCAGAACTTAGGCGATACTTCATTACAATACTTTTACCTATCGGGCGGTTTAGGTCGAAACATCCTCCTTCCGATGGCGGAGTATCATTTTATCTGTATCTATTTTGATTGATAAATTTTTACTCGTCTAGGAGGAAGTCCCTGTTCGGTTAATGCACTGTTCCAGATACGCGCGAGTCAGTCTTTCTTTTAACGGTTTGTTTATCTGTTACTGATGAGCATCGATGTTTTTATGTCAACGCTTATTGTACATACGTTGCTTATTTATATTGTTCATATTTACAAATACCTATTTATTAAACGTTATATTGACAGTTTATTTCTATATATTTATTATTTATAATAATCCTTACGACTCGTATGTATAAACATAAAGAATGCATTTGAGTTTGTTGCTTTTACAGGTGGCTGGAAGCCATACTGCGATATATGAAGCTTATTATAATCAGGTATGTCATTATTCATAGGAAAAACATATTTGTAGACATGTTGATAATTGAAGAGCTTCCTGGATAGTCACTGCAACCATCATTTGTATATAATGTTTTGCTAAAAAAAACTACTTGTGCATTATTCCTTGTTTTCTTTAGTTTTAATGAAATTTTAAGTTGGTTTTGATTCTTTGGTTCTTTTAGGAAGCCTTTTAATTATTAATATTTAAATGTACATGTATGTATTCGTGTGCACATGTGCATACGCGCGGACGTGTGTGTGTGTGTGTGTGTGTATATTTTTTTTTGCTCTTAGATTGATCCAAATGGATATGGACGAATTGAAGCAATGGATGCTGCAAGATTTCTTAAGAAATCCCAGTTGAGTGATGTTATTCTGAGTAAAATATGGGATATGGCTGATCCACAATCACGGGGTTCCTTAGATAAATCTGGCCTGTTTGTCGCACTCAAATTATGTGCATTGGCACAAACAGGAAAGGATTTAAATATGTCTAATCTAAGCCTAGAATTGCCACCACCAAAGATGGTAAATTTAAATACAGACACATTTTTGTAATTTAAACAAGCATTACATTGTCTGTTTTCTTTGATATCAGGGAGACATCCCAGTTATTCCACAAAAGACTATCACTAATGCTTTGCCTGTAATAACATCTATCAATAATGGAGATTGGTCAATTAATCCTACAGAACAAACAAAATATGATCAGCTTTTTGAAAGCTTACAGCCATCTAATGGCTATATATCTGGAAATAAAGTTAAAGGTGTTCTTATGGATAGCAAACTTCCCTTGGATACTCTTGGTAAAATCTGGGATTTAGCAGATATGGACAAGGATGGCATGTTGGATAGACACGAATTTGTAGTTGTAAGTATTGTTTTTTGTATATATTATAATAACTTTTGCATAATGAATATTAAATAAAAATAAGCCAAGAAAAGCTCAACACAAGTGAGTGAAAAGCGACTGGTCTTAGTGCCTAATAATATTTTTGCATTTGAATTTTTATAATTTCTGGTTCAAGCAAACTGTACACCAATTATTTGTTGATCTTGAAATAGTTCTAGAATAAAGTTAAAGTATTTAATATTGCAAGTTAAATTGACAAAAAAATTTAATATTATTGATTTTATTGAGTATTTGTAAAACACTAAGAGGAATTTACAGCGAAAAATATCTCAACCAAAATTTGAATCTGGATCTTCCTCGTTTTATTCAGAACCTTTATTTGAATTTGATCAAGGCATGTAATGATATCATTTAATTTAATATTACGCACTCCAGCTTCTTAGTATAAAATTGTGTTTTAAGATTAGCAAATGTATAATTGACATGTAGTTTTCTTAAACTGGAAATTGTAAAAATTTACAAAAACTTAGGCGTTAAGGCTCAGTTTGACTGAATGTGGTTCTCTTCACTCATTTATTTTGTGTAAGTATAGAACGATATTGGTTGAAAAACCAATTTTGGATAACAGTAATATTATGTAGTGTGAAGTATTGAGGAATTATCTTGGATGATATTAAATATTACTTATTTGCTATGAATTTTTACAATACATATTTGTATTAAATGATATTTCCATCTCTTTTTTGCTTAACTTTGTTATTATGTAGGCTATGCATCTTGTATATAAAGCATTGGAAAAATATGCGATACCAAGTGTACTTCCACCAGAATTAATGCCACCTAATAAAAGGAAAGACATTATTATCTCTAAGACTAAGTCTCCTACACTGATAGGCATGGCAGTTACTGCACCATCATTACAATCACAAGCACCACCCTTACCAAATACGCCGACAGTTAGGAGCTTGACTGGATTAGATGCTGTAAAGGTTATATCTTTTGAACTGTAATTTTAGAACTTATTGTATTTCTGCATCCAAAAAATGGCTAAGTTTTTGTACTGTATGTTCTCAGACAAGCGCGCAACATTGGGTAGTTTCAGCCGAAGATCAAATAGCCGCAGAAAAATTATTTTTACAAGCCGACATGGACAGAGATGGATTTGTCTCTGGTTTAGAAATTAAGGACGTCTTCCTACAAAGTGGACTTCCGCATTCGGTACTAGCTCATATATGGTAATATAGTATTTTATTGTGAATAATTTTTAACCAAAAATGAACTATGATGATATTGACAAACACATTTAATGAAATAGGAGTTTATGCGATATTTGTCAAAGTGGAAAATTAAATAAGGAACAATTTGCAATAGCTATGTGGCTTATCAAGCAGAAACTCAACGGTATAGATCCTCCGGCAAGTTTAACTCCTGAAATGATACCACCTTCTATACGGAAAGTTGGAGAAACTATTGTGGTAATTATTAAAATTTTTTTCTGCATTTATGATATACTGTATTAAAAGCTTATTTGAGATTCACGCATTCATGCATAAACACAGACACATTTTATAAATTATCGATGAACAGTTTAATATACATATCTGTACTTATGAAACAACGTTTGTAGTGTTTATTAATGCATCGTGTGTCGCGTTCGTTCCTTAAATGCTTTCCAAAATGTTATGAGAATTACGCTAATTACGACGATAGCGCCCATTAAAATAACATGATGATTCAGCTTGAATTCTATTTCTCCAATTACAATTAGCTTTATTATTCCAATAATTTCGTCATTTTGCCAACAACTATTAATGAAACAAGTTTTCAGATTATTATTATTATTATGTTCTCGTTTGTTAATAAATTTAATTTACCTGTATATATTAGCATCCCCAATCTTCAAAGGTTCAAATAGTATTTGCATTTGAGAATTAATATGAATTCTTCCATTCGATTGGAATTTAATGTGAGATGGAATAATTGTTTTATCATCGATCCGCCAAACAATTGGAACAT